AACAGCTAATTACAGCTACACTAACACTATGAAAGGGTGGTCGGATTGGTTTGCATTTTATTTACTAGCTTGCTTGCCCTGTCTTATGAAATTTCAAATGCCTTTCTTTCCTCAAAATGTCCAGATTGACTACAGATTTGGTCATCTGAATTCACACTCCGTTTGGATTGAGAAATGAGAACATAAAAGAAATTATTAGAGTTTCTCACCTAGGTGAGAAACGAAAAGAAATGATTGTGGTTTCTCACTTTCTTGTTTGGAAGGACTGTCACTCCGTTTGGAGTTTGGATAGAGAGGTTTGGTGAGAAAAGAAAAGAAATGGTGAAAATAGGAAACTTATTCACTTGTTTGGATGGTTAAGTAGGTGAGAAATGGTGGGAAATAATGAGAGATGATAAGAAAAAAATTCTCACCAAACCTATGCTTTATTTCTCACCAAAAGTGGTGAGATTTGGTGAGAAAGGAATTGGGTTTAATGAAAGTTTTTTAAAATATCAAAATTACCCTTATAAAAAAACATAACTTATTACTATGAAAGGTTATTTCGGTCGAATGAAATACAACACTTTGTTGTCTTTTCTCTTATTTACTTTATCTAAACAAGATAGGTGAAAAACCACATTCTCTTCTCTTTTATTCATCTAAACATAATGGTAAAAAACCATAATCATTTCCTTTCTTACCTCACCTCACGATCCAAATGGAGGGACTATGATTAAAAGAGTAGTTTTGGTTTCTCCCCAAATCTCACCACTTTTGGCGAGAAACAAAACTTAAGTTTGGTGTGATTTGGCTTTCTCACCGTTTCTCATCATCACTCACCTTATTAATCATTCAAACAAGTGATGAGAAATCTCATTCTCTCAATTTCTTTTCTTTTCTCACCAAACCCGTCAATCCAAACGGAGTGCCAATTTGGTTTAGACTATTCTGATGATCATGACTGATTGTTCATAGTCCATGGGATTCGATTCCAACACTTTGGACCACTAATTGAAACGAAAGTTTTAGAAGGCTCCCAAAAAGAAAAAAAAAACTGTCTGCTCTCCAATTTGATGTCTAATAGAGAGATTAATAAAGGTTTGTTGTGCTGATAGCGGTATCAGTTTTTGTTATCTGTATGCTTATCCTATAGATATAAAAAATAATAATAATAACAAATAATAATAAAAAAATAAAGAAAGAATAAAAAAAAAAAAAAGAGGCCAACAGAAGATGAAAATGACAATTTCTAAAGTTGGCATTGAGAGGGATAACTTGATATGTGTTTGAAACTTCTTCAGTTTCAGTGATAACAGCTTCGTCATGCCCCATCAGAGAAGATATCAAGCCATTTACCCAGTCAAAAACGAACACATAATGTTCCATGAATTTTATTATCAAAGATTCCCAATATCTGGTTGTTCCAAGTTCCAGCTGGAAGGTACATTTAGAATTTAAGGTAAGATGCTTTTCTAAATATTGAACCAATGAGGGGGAAAGGAAGAGTTATTGCAAATAAGGACCCAGTGAAGGGGAAAAGAAGACTTACTGCAAATAATGAGCCAATGAGGGGGAAATGAAGATGATTCAAATTAGCATTAACTGACTGTGGAATTCCATGTCTTCTTAGTTGACTCCAAGCCCAACTGAAATGTATTAAGTATAGAAAAGTCCAACTGAACAATAACTGTGCTGCAAAAGTTCCTCAGTGTTAATTTATAAATTGAATAAATAATGGAAAAACAGATGAACTCCATGAATTTGGACATTAGACCATCAATGGAAGGCCTCAAACTTTCTTTTTTGTTTGCCTCTTTATTTTCCATGTTAATAATGTCCAGTGCAGTGGACATAATAACTAAAACCCAGTTCATTACAGGCAGCCAGACCATAGTTTCATCCGGTGGAAGATTTGAGATGGGATTTTTCAGCCCGGGCAATTCCCAGAATCAATACTTGGGAATATGGTACAAGAAAATATCTTCTAGGACTGTTGTATGGGTTGCCAACAGAGAAATCCCACTCATCGATTCATCAGGTGTCTTGAAGGTAATTGACCCTGGAATTCTGGCCCTTCTCAATGGTACCGGCAGTGTCATTTGGTCTGCCAATGTGACAAGATCCACAGTACAGGATCCTATTGGTCAACTTTTAGAGTCAGGAAATCTTGTTGTGAGATATGCCAATGATGACAACCCAGAGCATTTTCTCTGGCAAAGTTTTGATCATCCATGTGATACTCTTTTACCAGGCATGAAACTTGGAAAAAACTTTGTAAGTGGCTTAGAGCGGCACCTTTCATCATGGAAGAGCTCCGATGATCCAGGTCAAGGTGATTTTGCATTTCGGTGTGATCCCCAAGGATATCCACAACTTATTCTGAGCAATGGTTCCATTGAGCTGTTCCGGACTGGACCATGGAATGGTCTTGGATTTAGTGGGAATCCAAACCTCAAACCAAATTCCATCTACACATATGGATTGGTTTTCACCAAGGAGGAGGTGTATTATGGTTATGATCTCGTTAACAGCTCAGTTGTTTCCAGGTTTGCTCTAAGTCATGATGGCATTATGCAGCGCTCGACATGGATTGATCGAACCCAGGAATGGGTCCTTTACCTGACTGCACCGGTAGATAATTGTGATTATTATAAACTGTGTGGTCCATATGGTAGCTGTAACGTTGGAAACTCGCCAGTATGTGGTTGTTTGAGTAACTTTGTGCCCAAATACCCAAAGGAATGGGAAAGTGGAGACTGGTCTAATGGGTGTGTTCGGAGGACACTATTGGATTGCCATAAAGGAGATGGATTTCTCAAGTATTCACATTATAAAATGCCAGACACAAAATATTCCTGGTTTGACAAGAACATGACCTTGAGGGAATGCAAGATACAATGCTTGAAAAACTGCTCTTGTATGGCTTACACAAATTTAGACATAAGAGAAGGTGGAAGTGGCTGCTTGCTTTGGTTTGATGAATTGATTGATATGAGAGAGTTCAGTGAAAATGGGCAAGACATTTACATAAGGATGGCTTCCTCTGAGTTAGGTAAGAAATTCCTACCAAATGCATAGATTAGTGATTTTACATTATAACTGAAAGATTTATGCTCTTTTTGACTGCCAAACATGTAGATTAGTGGTTTTACATACATACAAGTGATGATGATTATAAAAATTTGATTTTGTTTAAGGACAAAATGTATGTATGGTTCTTAGAGTATGTGCTTTATATCATTTGAATCTTTTCAGTTTCATTTTCGTCAAAAGATGGGAAGGGGTTGGAATATATCGGACCCAATAGTTTCAATAATCACATGAATTGTAAAATGTCAATTGAATTATGGTATAATTGTGAGCAAATGACCATCAATGGTTCAACGAATAGCCCACTGGCAGACCAAGGTGAGACGGCTTATCCAATGGACGATATTGGTATTAATACTGCTGGTCTTCTGTTGAAGGTGAGAGCCCAAAGTTCAGGTTTGGTTAATTACTTTATGCAAATCCATTGGTAGCTTTGCGAATTTCAAATGAAGGATTTTGAACCATGCTTTGCCTCTTTTATTTTATTTTTGGTTCAGCTAGATATAAGTTGCAACACAAGCCAACAAGAAACCAATCAATCATTCTTGTCCTCGAGTCCCTTGGTTCTTTAGTATTTCAAGCTGTCCAAAACTCCAAAATTGAAAGATGAATAATGTATTTACATTGCTTTTGGGCAATTTGTTGGTGTCACCCTTATAAAGTTCATTCAGCAACAGTTGGGAGAACACTTCATAGGGGAAAATCTAGAATCAGAGGCAGTGATTCAGTTCTATTTTTAAAATTTGCCATCGTTTTAACTATAAAGGGTATTAATTAAAGTAAATTAGGCTTGAAAACTTTCGCACAAAGAATTTGTAAAATCAAGAGGCAGCAACTACAGCTTGGCCACTTGCAGAGCCCCTGGTACTTTGGAAAGATTGATAACCTCTTATACCGAGATGTATAGTAATGCTCATAAATTAAGGGCTGATTTCTCCTTCAGATGGAGCTTCCCTTATTACCAATCACGGTGACAAGCGACTGTATTACAGAATCTACTAAGGACTGGCTTGACCTCATTATGTTACTAGGCCTTGGTTGTGAATGTATTTTATTACTTATTTTCTAATTATATATATAGCAATTGACATTATACATATGTTTGTGCTCTCATGGTTGTATTACCTGAATGAATTGACCATTACTTTAAATGGATTGAAGATTCAACAGTCCGACGAGTTGGCTTTAGTGGCAAGAAAAGAGAGATAGTCGGAGTGACCTTGGCATCATTATTTGGACTTCTTCTGCTGGGCATGAGCCTAACCTTGTGTCTCCAAAAAAAGAAGAAGAATTCATAGCTGAACAGAGAAGGTATCTGAGACTAGTTGTTCTGTGCTAAACTTTTGTGCCTTTGTCTTAATTTAAAAAGAGAGAAGAAAAGAAATGCTCACTCATGTGTATATATATACTGTAATTATGCGTTGATGTGTTCATCCCTGTAATGGTATATTACTTTGTTGGATCTACTTGTCTCATTTACATCCACTTCATCCCCGCTTTACAGGAAGTCTAATGCAGAACTCTGAATGAGGTTACAATGACAAAAGCCAGAAGGAAGATCTAGAGTTACCATTGTTTGACTTAGCTGTAATAGCTAATTCCACAAATAACTTTTCAATTGACAACAAGCTTGGAGAGGGTGGATTCGGACCTGTTTACAAGGTAACAATGTAAAGACGCACTTGTGCTATCCATAACGATTTGATGGATTTAGAACTACCTGATGGTGTATATAGTTATTTGAGATCCTTCTGCCTGATTCTACTTATACAATGATCCTAATATAATATATATGTGTGTGTGTTATCTTTTATTCAATCCTACTGTCACGACCCCAACTTGCCCCAAACAGGATGGGGTGAGGTGACTGACTAGTAATCACGGACTACCAAATGCCAGGCTTACAAAACAAGCTGGACTCTTAGAATATTTGGGGCAAATTTTCAATTATAAAGTGTGGAAGCCATTACATACTTATATTGAGTCCATTTGAAACATCCATTCAGAGCTGTACATAACTATATGAAATGAAAGCATAAATTCCTCTTAGATTATTATCCCGCTTATATTACATTACATGATCCATACAGCAAAAGTAAGATACAAAACTCATGACAAAGCTCATACGAAACCATTAGAAGCAATCAAGACATCTCTTAATCAATCTTTTCTTGAAACCAAGCTCTTCGTCACCTACATATATATAAGGGAGGGGTGAGCCAAAGTCCAATGAATAAAATCAAAGTAAAGTGGTAAATAAATGAATCCCAAGCTCATTAGTAAAGAATCATTTCATATAGCATTTATAGTCATTCAAATATTTCATAAGAATAACTCATAATCAAAGCATGATACATGGTACATCCATAGGAGCCTCTTAATGGAATAATCGGCCTGGGTACGATTAGACAAACCATATTTCGGTGGCAGTGGAGCTCAAATATGGCCATGGTACATTTAGACTGTCCCCCAATGGCTGGGACTATCTATGGATGCCATTGATAGCTTTAAACAAATTACAGGATATTCATTCATTCATAATCAAAATAAAGATTTCAATCTTTTCTTAAATTATCCAAGAAGTCTTGAAGAATGTCGAAGTGTGTTGAACATGTACGTTGAAGGGTCCTATGTATTCTACAATAATTTCATAAGCTATGCATTGAAAAATATCATGTTTAGATGTTTATAGGAAGAAATGAAAGAAACCAAGTTAGGAGAGGAATTAGCATGAAATGGTTAGGAAGAAAGTGAGCAGCCTTCACTAGTTTAGACATATCTCTTTGTATATTTAGAATTTGGATGTGAGACCATCACCATTGGAAACTAGACTTTCGGGACTTGAATTTAGATTCAAGAATCACCTAAAATCGAGTCAGGATGAGAGAGATATGCCCATTTAAAATTAGACTGAAACATGGTTCAGCATGTGCGGGAAATATGAGGTCACGCTCGGGAAGAGTTCCGCACGTGCGGGAAATTTGAGGGCACGTGTGGTTATTTCAATAGCAAAAATTGGTTTCTAGGGGGGTTGGCCGCATGTGCGAGAAACCTGGGGCACATGTGGGAAAATCTGGGTTGGACGGGTTGAAGCTATTCTTGATGTTCTTGAGCTTCCTAATTCAATTTTGTCACTTCCAAACCCTAAAACATGATATACAAGGTACCTAGGTATGCATAAATGATGTATAATGCATGGAAAAACATTTGTATGCATTGAATTCAAAGTTTCAAAGATCAAAACATGTTTTCCTTCAAAAATTCTTCAAGATTCATTCCTTCCAAACTCTTTCTTATTTCTTCATTTTCAATTCTCTAAAACATGATTTCAAGGCTTCAAAACATGAAGTAATGATGCAAGACCCATAAAAGCTTATTTGTTTGCAATAATTTCTAGACTTAACCAACTAAAAACAAATATCAATCCATGAATTCATCAACCTAACTTCCTTTTCATATTTTCTTCATTTCCTTCATCTAAATCCTTCCAAATCTTAGTTTAAATGAATTTCTAGCTAGATTAAAGCAACAATACTAGGTAGAGGGTTGAGTTTCTTACCTATTGATGATTTTTCTTGAATTTCTAGGCCAATTTTGAGTTCCCTTTGATTTTCTTTCTATTTCCCCTTCTTTTCTCCTTTCTTCTCTTCTTTCTCTAGAGCTCTTGAGCTCCCTCTCTATTCTTCTCCATCTTTCTCAATCTTTCTCTTTTGTCTTTCTTTTATTTGATGTAGGTTGATTAATTAGCTTAAGTGTTTCACTAATTACTTCATTAGCTTTATTAACCGAGCTTAGTTCTAATTAACCATACTTGGCCCTTAATCTTCATTAGCGTAATTAATCCTACTTAAATCTTAATTAATCTTGCTTAACTTTTACTAATCCTACTTAATTTTTAATTGAGTACGCATTAGGCTCTACACATTAAACCAAGGTCATTAAGCTTCTCACTTAAGATTTCCTAAATCATCGAGGCGTTCAATTCTTAAGGGAGGGAGGGCAGAGCTTTTGGTGGTCCAGTCAAAAATTAAGGCCTCACAATCACTAGCCAATATGCTTTTCTCTCCTCCCTAACTCTTCAACATTTACCCAAATTTTTTATACTAAAGTCTCATGTTCAAGTTCTTCTTGGCTACTTAGGCTCTCTATCAAGTACCAATATTCCTAATTTTTCTAGCATACGTATTCATTTCCCAAATTTGTATCCTAACAATTCATATCTTTATTTCCAGAACATTGTAAGGTAATTGAATTAGGGTATCCCGTGATATGAAATAGTCAATAAGATAATTATTTTGGCCCAAGGTATTTAAGGATGGGTAATGACATAATTATAGTACGTGGCATTCTTTGGGGTGTCACATCTACACTTTATAATTAATCCAATAATTAACTTGCCTACAATTTTATATTCAGAATCTATTCTACCTTATCATGCTATTGACTATTGGAATGGCCTATGTGTCCACAAATAAGGGGAGTAGTAATACATGTTCTCAACATTAGTATAAGATAAGCTAATTCAATACCGTTACAGGTTCTTGTAAAGTAAAATAACAAAAATGTGTAGGTATTATTTAATGAACTAACATCATCATTCAAAACAAAAAATTGGCTCACCAACAACTTGATATTTGACTTTTTTTTTAATGATTATTCAATTATAGGTTGGTACTTTATTTTTGTTTTCTATTTTTTCAAGTAATGGTATACAAACACAAAAGTTCTATTGAAAGCTACACAAAATGATGTGGCAGATTTGAACTTTTTAATTTCAAATCAAAACACGTATCGATGATCATTTATTTAAAAAATTGTCATTGTCATATTATTCTAGTAGAGTATTCTATTTATAAATTATGGAAAACTGATTGTTTATTCTTGTTGAATATTCTATGTAGAAAATTATTATTATATACATATTTATATTATATGTGAGAAATATAATATTGAAAGCTACACAAAATGATGTGGCAAATTTGAACTTTTTAATTTCAAATCAAAACACGTATCGATGATTATTTATTTAAAAAATTGTCATTGTCATATTATTCTAGTAGAGTATTCTATTTATAAATTATGGAAAACTGATTGTTTATTCTTGTTGAATATTCTATGTAGAAAATTATTATTATATACATATTTATATTATATGTGAGAAATATAATTGAGACTGACCTTTAAAATCTTGTAGGGAAGTTCTAATTTTGTAATCCCCTCCACCTGTCCTCACTCACCCACGCAGAGTAAAACATTCTCTGCCCTTTTCTTATCACACAATCTAGATGCTATTTGGCATAGCATAATATATTTTTCTTTCAATTTTCAAAGAAGACAATTGGTTTGTTTGATGCAAATTTTCTTAGATATGAAACTTCATAAATCTGTGTAATTTTGTCTTTCAAGTATGTGTCTGGTAATGCTGTTATATAAATCACTAGTCATTACTGCACCTGTTGGAACAATGTCAGCCGGAGCGACATAAAAAAAAGCAAGTAAAATACATAAATAATAAGAATTTAAAAAAAAAAAAAAGTGGTTTCTTTTAATTGAAAAAAGAAGAAGAGTGGTTTATTTTAAGTTCTAATAGAAGAACATTCTATCAATTATAATGGTAATTCCCAGGGTATGCTGGAAGGAGGACAAGAAATAGCTGTGAAGCGGCTCTCAAAGAATTCTAGCCAAGGAATTGATGAGTTTAAGAATGAAGTTATATGTATTGCCAAACTTCGGCACCGAAATCTCGTGAAACTTCTAGGATGCTGCATTGAAGGAGAAGAAAAGATGTTGATCTATGAATACATGCCCAACAAAAGTCTGGATTACTTTATTTTTGGTTTGGCTCTCTTGAAAACTATAATACTACATATATAGCACAACTATTCCGTTCTCACACCAGCCAGCAGTCTTTCTTTCTTTTTTCTATTCTTTTTGGTTCCATATAAATCTTTTGAATAATTTGATAATGAGTACAAAAAGGTTGTTATTACATGTGCATTTGCATGAACTGTCTTCTAGAAAAATTTGGGATCTTCCATTGAGGAATACTGTTAAAAATTCATGCATCTAATTACCAGGAGCAAGGACTAAATCAGACAAAATAATTTCCAGATCGAACCCGAAGCGCATTACTAGAGTGGCCGAAGTGCTTCCACATTATTAATGGGATTGCTCGGGGGCTTTTATATCTTCATCAAGATTCCATACTGAGAATTATTCATAGAGATCTCAAAGCTAGCAATATTTTGTTGGATATTGACATGAATCCAAAAATATCAGACTTCGGAGTGGCTAGAAGTTTTGGAGGAAATGAGACAGAAGCAAATACAAACAGAGTGGTTGGAACACAGTAAGAATCTTCATGACATGTTTTGTTTAATCCACTTATATTGCTTCAAAATCTGGTTCTTCATTAAGTGTTTCTCTGTAGCGGTTATATGGCTCCAGAGTATGCAGTGGATGGGCTATTTTCAGTCAAATCAGATGTGTTCAGCTTTGGTGTTTTGGTGGTGGAGATTGTGAGTGGGAGGAGAAACAGAGGTTTCTATCATCCCGATCACCACCTTAACCTCCTTGGGCATGTAAGTGTACACAGTTTAAAACTATTCTTGCATGTGTATGTTTTCCAACAAGTACTGTTAATATTGTAGTGGATTGTTCAGGCATGGAAACTCTACAAAGAAGACAGGTTGTTGGAATTGATTAACGAGGCTCTATGGGACTCATGCTACCTAATTGAAGTGTTGCGATCAATCCATGTGGGTCTTTTATGTGTGCAGCAATGTCCAGAGGACAGGCCAAGCATGTCTTCTGTGGTTTTGATGTTGGGTAGTGAAGGCCCATTGCCTCAGGCCAAACAGCCTGGCTTCTTCACTGAAAGGAATGTTCTTGAGGCTGGTTGTTCGTCAAGCAAGGATGCAACAACTTCAGCCAATGAAATCACCATTACCATGTTAAATGCCCGATAGAAACACACATTGTGTTGATGCTAATTACATACCCCAAAACTTGTGAAATAAAATGAAAACCATTTTGTTGGATTTTATACCTTCTGTAAGGTGGAAGCTATGGTTATTCATTGTTTCTTGTTAATGTCGGGTTATAAACCTTCATTGGTTATCATCATAATTAATAAAATTTCTTTCTTTCTACAAGTTCTTAGCAATCCTTGTGAATTCAAGAGTTTCATCTGCTAAAACAATGCCTAGCCTTTTTTGCTATTACTGCTATATCATCGAGGACTACTTTCATGCAAATCCTAAGAAACAAGCAATGCAGCATGAAGCACCTAAGGAACAGAGCTTAATAGAGGTGTCAAATCTATGGTCCATGATTGTGTAGTATGAAGCACCAATGAAATAGACAAGTTAATTCCAATTATGGTTTAGTCCTACGCTAGAAAAAGTGACTCTAGCTAACAAGCAATGCAAAAGCACTATTAGTGCAGAACCAATGAAACAGTTAATTCATGAATACTTGCCTCAGTGCGAAGAGGAGTCATTCCTATAATCCTAACCTATGAAACACTGGTACGGATACAAGTATTAGTATTGGTATAATATAGGTATGTCAATACAGTAGAATTTTAAAAAAGTAAGGTATGAGTACAGCTATGTACGTTCATAAAAATATATTTATTTTTAATTTGAAATAATGCAAAATTTAATTAAATAGTCTAATTTTTAACCTGTAATTCATATTTTATATCAAAAGTAAGGTATAAATCAAAATTAAATATCATTATATTAAATAACCTACAAATCAAAACTTAATTAACTTTGCCTCTAAAACTTCATAAATTTGTGTAATTATGTCATTTAAGTATGTGTCTGGTAATGTTGTTACATAAATCACTGGTCATGACTACACCTGTTCAAACAATGTCAATCGGAGTGACATGAAAAAAGCAAGGAATGAAAAAAAAAAAAAAAAAAAAGGGTTAATTT